TGGCCTCGAACTCACAGAGATCCGCCTGGCTCTGCCTCCCGAGTGCTGGGATTAAAGGCGTGCGCCACCAACGCCCGGCTGAACTTTATTTATTAACATACAATCAAAATCACATTTCAGTACAATTAGATTACCACCACACCTCCACCTCCACTTTTCCAATGTTGTGATTACTGGCATATGCCACCATACCTGGTTTATATTATTTTCTTTTGCTCACTAGCTCTCCCTCCCCTTCCCTCCCCCTCTTCCCCCTTCCTTTTTTTTGTTATAATTTACTTATTTCATGTCTGATAATAAACCAAATATCTGTATTTTTTTCAAACAAGATATTACTATGTTGCCCAGGCTAGCCTAGAACTCACTGTGTAGTCTAGGCTAGCCTTGGACTTATAACTGTCTTCCTGCTTCAGTCTCCAGCGACCTGGGTTATAGGGATATGCACCTCACCTAGCTTATATATTTCTTAATAAGATCTTCCCCGAGGACCTTATTGCTAATTGCAGCCTCACCCTCATTCCCTGCATTCTTTCTGCTTTTTCTTATTTTGTTTTTCTCCACTTTGCTATCATATTTTTGGTATATGATTTTACTCATGTAGTTGTTTTTGTTTGTTTCCCTTTGTTAGAATTAGCTCCACATAGGGGATTTTACTTACATTATTCATCAGTGCACTTCTTCTGGTTTTTTAAACAGCAACTGTTGAAAAGTGAGTGCTCAACAAATATTTCTTTTAAAAAAGAATCATTGATTCTATTAACTGACAAACTTATCATTTAAAATTTTCTAATTTGCGCTTTTTTATTTTTTATTTTACATCCATTTATTTATTTGTTCCAATACCAAGACTGTTACTTCTATTATTTCATTGATGGAAAAACAAGAACAGATGATCTGAAATTTATATAATAATCAACAAAGCTGATCTCAAAGTCAACCTTTTCTGACTTGAAGTACATTTCTCTTCTGTGTCATCCACCTTCTCTGTATTCTTTTCACATATCTAAGGCTATAATTTTTAGGAGTATGTGTGGGATAAATCCTATAAGTAGATATGTAGATTTTTTCCTTTCACATAGTCCATATTCTGCAGAAATAGTTTGTTACATTGTGAGATGGCTATGAGAAGAGAGTCAATTAATCTTCAGTAAATGGATCTTGTACAAAAAGCCGTATCCTTTAAATACGGAACTTGTTTGTTAAAATGGGGACCTAGTTGAAGATAAGGAGGACTGCCTTCCTCCAGGAGCCCAGTACTCACAAGGAAATGTAAATCATGGAGTCTATACAGGGTTTGGAGAAAATGGGCAAATGTTTTATTTTTTTCCTGGATAGCCTTTGTGCTTTAGGGGTGCTTTAGGGTTTATTTTACATAGCCTGTTTTAGACATGTGTGCTGGGTGGGGAGAAGGAATGTTTCACTGATTGAAGAAAGCAGTTCCTTAGCTTGCATTGTAGGTCTTACTAGGAAACTGGGATTCTTGGATGCATTGAATGCAGAGTAAGAAAACGTAACTGAAAACTTTTCTGTTTTTCCCCCTTTTGCCAAGCTGGTAATAGCGATGGAAGAGCTGAAGCAGTGCCGACTACAGCAGAGGAATATTTCTGCCACTGTTGATAAGCTAATGCTGTGTCTTCCAGGTGAGGAACTAGGTAGGAATGGAGTAGGATTCTTGATGCATTTCCTTTAGCTTAGTTAGTTGTTTATTTTGTTTAAATGATGCCTGTGTGATCTGTTTTCCTTATCAAGTCCTAGAGATGTACAGCAAACTGAGGGACCAGATGAAAACCAAAAGGTAAGGTTTTTTTTTTTTAAATTGAACAATCTAAAATTTCCTTAATTTATAATACTTAAAAAAGAGATTTGTTTTCTTATTTGTGTGTGTGTGTGTGTGTGTGTGTGTGTGTGTGTGTGTGTGTGTGTGTGTTTACTATGTGCATGTGGGTGTCCACAGAGACCAGGAAAAGGCATTGGATCCTCTGGAGCTGGAGTTACAGGCATTTGTGTGTTATCTGATGTGGATGCTGGAGTCTGAATGTGGGTCCTTTGTGAGAGCAACAAGTGCTTACAACCACTGCCCTATTCCTCTAGCCACCCTACTTGCATCTTAAGTGGTCTTCAGTCTTTCTTTGACTTCCATAACCTCATCAGGTTTGAGGAGTATAGATGTATTACTGTTTTGTTTTTTTTTCTTCTCTATTTTGGAGATAGATTGTCAGTGTATGTTACCATGCATGGCTTGATCTTGCTATTTTTTAAAAGGTCACATGTGACAATCTCTTTTCTAGTTGAACTCCTTAGATCTTTTATACCTGATACACTTATCTATATATGACTTTCAGTCTAATTTATTTTCCATTTGTCTTCACTGTTACTTGTTCTTGCTCTATGTATCTGCTTTTGTCTCAATCAGTTAACTAGATTTTAGGATTCTGTTGTATCTTCACTAATGCCTTATAATCCATACCTCTACATTTCTTTAAAATGATTGCTTCTAAGCTTAAAATAGTCATCTTTAACTTAGAGTGGATTTTCAAATAATATGGCAAATTACATATAATGCAAGTTTCTAGTAATAGTAACTTCCATCTAAATGAAAATACTTTATAGATTTAATCATTATCTATTGTATACATGAAATTATCTCATGCTACCCCATATTTGTATGTAATTATTATTTGTCATTTAAAAATTTTAAACTATACCTCTGTTTACCCTCCCTTCCTTGATGTTATTATTGTCATTGCTCTTATTTCAGAATATGGCATAGTGCCTATAATATACTTGTATTTTTGCTATAAACTTCTAAGTTAAAATATTTTAAAGTAAGATTAAAAAGTCTTTGTTTGTCTATATATTTTAAGTGATTCTGGCCCTCTTGTTTCTTTATATAGACCTAAGTTCTTTACCATCCCTTTTTGGATTAGTGCGATAGCTGTGAATTCTTTATTTATTTAAATAGTTAAATTAATTTTAAATTTAAATTTTATTTAAAATAAATAAAATAAAAATTAAATAATTTAAAGATTAAATTATTGTTGCTTTTCCTATACGGTAACATCCACCAGTTTATGTTTATAGCTTAGTGTTGTTTTAGAATATTCGTAAGGCTCGCCTTCATTGCCTGAATATGTCAGGCCCCTCAAAAGTAAACCTTGTCCCCATTCTTCCTTCCCTTAGATTGAGCAGTCACCACTTTACTTTATAGCTGTATGTTTGCATATTGTAACTGTCTCATATAAAGGGGGCTACACTGTATGAGGTTGTCTACATTTGACTTCTCCTCTTACAGTGTTTTCAGGATTCAGCCAAGCTTTGGTGTGAATCAATACTTTATTCCTTTTTATGGGGCTGCTTTTCTACTGTGTGGATGGATTGCATTTTATTTTTTCATCATTTGACAAACATTTGGGTTATTTTCACTTTTTAGTTATGAATAAAGCTATTTAGAGACTTGTAAATTTTTATGTGGGCATATACTCCCTAAGTTCTCTTGGGAATATATACCTCTGAGTAGAATTTCTGGGTCATGCTGTATTTCTGTGTTGCACTGTTTTATGAAACTGGTTGATTACTTCTCAAAGCAACTGCATCTTTTTAATCTACCTAACATCATCAGATGATAATTAGTGCTTATTATTATTTAAAACTTTTAGATTTACTATTTTATTATTTTATGCATTTGAGTATTTTGCCTACATGTGTGTTTGTACACTACATGTATGTATAGTGCTCTTGAAGGTCAGAAGAGGGCTTTGGATCCACTGGGACTGGAGTTAAAGATGGTTTTGAGCTAACATGGGTTCTGGGAGTTGAACCTGGTTCCTCTGAAAGAGCAACAAGTGCTCTTAAATGCTGAGCCAGCTCTCTAGCCCCAGTGTGTATTATTGTCTGTCTTTTAGTTATAGGCATCACAGTGGAAAGTGTTATCTCCTGATTAAAAAAAAAATTTTTTTTTGGTGGTCCTGGAGTGATGGCTCAGTGGGTAGAATGCTTGCTGTTCATCTGGTGATGACCCTAGTTCCTTATCTAGGATTCATGTGAAGGTGGAAGGAGAGAACTGATGCCTCAGAATTGTCCCCTGACCTCCACACGTGCACTGTGCTACTCCCGCCACATCTGCATACACACAATAAGAAATTAAATAAAAAATAAAACCAAAACATTTTTTTAAAGACAGGGTCTTACTGTATTGCAAGCTGGCCTTGAATTTATATAACTGAGGATGATCTTGAACTTCTTCAGAACCTCAATCTTTTCCTCTTGAGTGCTGTTTATCACTATACTTGGATTATGTTGCTGGGGATGGAATTCAGGAGGCTTTGTGCAGGTTAGAAAAGCACTGTATTCCCTGAGCTGCAGAGGCCATAGCCCTCCATTGGTTTTTGATGTTTCCTTCTTCTCATTACTTTGTGTTTCTCTTTAAGTACATATACATGGATGTAATTGCTGTATTCATGTGTTTGCTATTCTGCTACTTCTTGAATCTACTTTTGAACTAATTTTGTTATTCTGGTTATAGGTCAAAAATAAATTTTGGACATTATAATGTTGATAAGTGTCTGGAGTTTGGGGGAACTTTTTTTTTTTTTTTTTTTTTTTTTTTTTTTTTTTTTTAATGTTGGGCTTTATTTTGGAGAAGTAGTGGTTTGCAGATCTCATCCCTCCAGACTCCATTTTAAAGCTCTGCTAGGGCCAGCTATGATAGCTCATGCCTTTAATCCCAACACTTAGGAAGCTGAGGCAGGTAGATAGATCTCTGTGAATTTGAGGCCAGTCTTGTCTGTATAGTGAGTTCCAGGCCAGCTAGGGATGCATAGTGAGACACTCTCCAACACTAACAACAAAAACCAAAGCTATGCTAGGCCAAGTGTAGTCAATTTTACAGAATATTTAATTTGGCCTGAATGGTGCAGTGGTATCTATGAACCTTGCCATTTGGCTGTTTGGGGTTAGGGCATTTTTCTGCCTTTTCTGACCTCCCTGAAGTGCTCATCTTATACCTCCCTGTTAGTCTATCCCCACCCATCTTCTCTCCTCCATCTCCTCTCCCCTTTTCCTCACCTTGCATGCCCGGGTCTAGTACTCAGCAAAGACTCCAGGGAAACCCTATGTAGGCTCCCCTCTCCCTTTTTTCCTTCCCTCCTTCCCTCTCCCTCTCCCTCTCTCTGCTACAACCTTTTAGGCCTAGTATTTGATGCCTTAAGTCAGTAAATCTTCAGGCTCTCTGAGGGTTTTCCCTGACTCTGTCCATGTTGGAGGGATCACCTTCAGGTAGATAGCCCACCTTGTTTATTCTCTTCTTTTGGAGTTCATTTATCAGCTGCCTGCTGTTCAGTGACTGAAAACAGTTGTTTTAGGTATTAGCCAGGATCTACTTGTTTATAAAGTGGTATGTCATGTCTGTTTCTTGTTAAGTTTTCATGGTTGAAAGACTGGTTATTTCTCTTTGAGCTGTAAATATTGATTATATTATTGGGTTTTATGTTTTCTAAAGAATCTCTAGCACATATCTTTGTTAATAATGTTCTTATATTAGGAAAGGAAGTACTATTTTTCTGTGGTGAAAGCTTATATTTCATATTTTATTGTTATGAATAAGAGGAAAAATTTATTGGTAATTGTGATTTACTTTCAGGAACCTCTTACTAGAAGTTAAAAAAAATATTGAAACAGCCCTTTTTATAATAGTATCCAACCACTTTGTCTCTATTAAACCTCCTAGAGCAGTGGTTCTCAACCTATGGGTCGTAACCCTTGTAGTGGTGGTCAAACGACCCTTTCACAAGGATTGCCTAAGACCATTGGAAATCACAGATATTTACAATTCTTGACAGTAGAAAAATTAGAATTGTGATGTATCAATGAAAACAATTTTATGGTTGGGAATCACAAAAATATGAGGAGAACTATATTAAAGGATTTCAGCATTAGGAAGGTTGAGAACCATTATCCTAGAGGGAATAGGGGAGCTGAGCACACATGCAAATGAATTTGAACAATTGGCTTCTCATTGTTTTTCTTTTTCTGTGTAGCTTTGGCTAGCTTCAAACACACTGTGATCCTCTTGCCTCTGCCTCCTGATTAAGGGTATGTGCTACTACACCTGGCCTCATTGGTTAATTTATTTTTTATATATTTAAAGATTTTCTTAGAAACAAATTTTGATTATGTGTTTATGTGTGTGTGTTTATGCATTTGAGTGCAGGTATCCCCAGAGTTTAGAAGAGGGTATCAGATTTCCTGGAACTGGAGTTATAGGTGGTTGTGAGCCATCTAATATAGGTGCCGGGATCCAAACTTGGGTCCTTTGCAAGAGCATTAAGTCCCCAGTTACTGTTTTAAATGACTTTTTTATTTGTATTATTACCATATGTGGTATATGTACTTGTCAGTGTGGGTGTGTATACACATGCGTGCAGGTTTATATAAGTGCATGTGGTGGCCAGAAGTTGATGTTGGGTTTCTTTACTTGATCACTCTCCACCTTTATCTTTTGACACAGGTCTGCCAGTGAACTTCAGGGTTCCACCTGTCTGTATCCCACAGAACTGGGATTATAGGCATATCTACCATACCTGTTTTTTTTTTTAAATTTTATATGGAATGGGGATCCATAGGTCCTTATGCCTGTGCAGCATTATTTACTGGCTGAGCCATCTCCACAGCCTGCATTCAGTTTTTAAAACTTTATTTATTTAATTTTATGTGTATGTGCTTGAGTACATATATGTGCACCATTTGTGTGCAGGAGTTTACAAAGGTTACAAGAGGCAATTGAGGTCAGAAGACTTA